AAGTCAGCCGCAACTTCTGCATCTGGAATTTTGGAGGCAGCACCAGATATCTCTTGTCAAGGGTCTTTAGATCTATGATCACCCTCATCTCGGTTGTGTTCTTCTTCGGGACTAAAAAGACTAGGCAGTAAAAACCCTTGGTGTTGTTGGACTCTTTTAATTCCCGAATGGCTCGCTTCTTTAGTAGCTTCCTGGCGGCCAATTCTGCAGCTGCTAATTTCGCATCGGTCAGGTGAAATCTTCAACCCACGGTGGATGTTCAGACTCAGACAAGTGTGGCTTGTAGCTGTGAGCCACATTGTATAGAATCCAGTTGTCAGGTGTAACCTGCTTCCAATTTTCGGCGTATGACAGAAGGCGCCCACCATTCCACTGGGCCCGGAGTCGGTGTTATGTTGAAATATGGTAGGCGTAAATCAGAATCCATAGACATAACCAAGTGGAAAGGGTCTATAACGTCGGAGGGGGGGTTGTAAGGAAGTCAGAATTTTCTTTCCCCTCTGCCGCTTGATCTTCCTCGGCGATTATATCCCCGTTTCTTGAAGCATGGGTGGGGAAAAGAGTCCTGCCAAGATTGTGGCTTGTCGTACCTCCGCCTCACCTGAAACAAATCCTTCTTGGAGGGAACAAACTTCTTCTCAGGAGGCTGTTTGGGCGCAGAAGATTTATGGTCCCATTTATTCTTGTGAGAATGTGATGACTCATGAGCTCTTGCTGCAAGGTCTATGGTTGAAGTCTGGAAATGCTTGGCTGTATCTTGTTACACCTCATCTATCACATTTCTGAGTTTCCCATTGAAAGTTGTGGTTGCTGATATTGGTTGCGACGTCATCTACTTCTTGGTCTGGCTAGATACAGCCCTTGACCTAATCTGGGATAGGAGCTGTTGTCGCTGTAGTCTCAGTAACTGTGAGGAAGTCCAGACTTGGGATGATAGTACCGTATATGACCGCGGATAAGCCGACCCCGTAGATAAGCCGAGGTGTTAATTTGACCATTGAAATACGAAAGAAAATGATATGACCCGCAGATAAGCCGAATCAGGAATTGAAAGACAAAAAACACTGCGAAGTCGGACTGCAAGACATGTGCCGGTACTCGCAGATATTCAAAAATATAAGATGAAAAACGTTGTAATTATATTGAAAAAGTCATTATTATTTCTAATAAAGATTTAACAAACCAGTCATCCACTTTCATAATGTGGGAAGCTGTTTCTCGTGGGTTTTTTTAATCTCATAATGATCGTTATAGTTGCCATCAACAACCAAGCGCCATTTTGTGAATCGGTGTATATAGAATTCTGAACCCGTGAGAAAATATATCAGCTGGAGCGAAAACTCGCAGTTTGAATTCAGCATCGTAAGCATGGCGTTTTCGTTTAAAACTCATGATGAAAATGTCAGTCAGTAAAAATATACCAACTTTTATAACCCCCTTTACACCACTATTGTATGTTAATCCAATTGAATTAAATAAACTATCATACTATGAACACATTGAATGACCATCACTTACTCACAGGCTTTTCCAGTTTATTAAACTAATCTCTCGAAAACAAAGAAATTAAGCCCCTACTCCCAACACGATCGCTAAGCACCCACAACTTGAAAATGTTTGTGTAAACAACATGACAATAGCAATCGGCCCGTTATTATCAATGCTGATTTCCTTGTGTACCGTGTTGCTTTAAACAACAGGAAGCAATCACAGTGGTCACCGTTTGTGACGTCACAGGAAACAGCTGATCACATGTTTTTGCAAATGGCGAACGGAATAACTCGCCAATACAGTTGTTTATTTGCCCCTTTCAATAAAGGTAGACACTTGTTCACTATCAATTTATGAACTTTGCAAAACGTACGTAATAGCTATTGGCGATTTTATCTGGGGATTATATGTTATAGCTGTGAATTACGTATATTGTTTACATGTAAAGATTGTGGAGTTGACGAAGAACGATAAACTTTGAACATTCAATTGAAAACTTATTATCGGAAGTAGTAACATGCATAACATTTTTTTAATAATGACAACATTGGTGTATAATAATAACTTTATTGATAATTTATAACAATAATGGCTCTAGTTGTGGCAACTTCCAAACTTTCGGGAAGTTGTAATCTATCGGACCGTCATTCAGCCGATGTTTCTGACAGATCACGATCTGAAAAATACTATCATGAAAGTGTATCCCGTGGATAAGCCGACCCCTTTCTACAGAATCTTTTTTCTGGTCCTCAAAATTCGGCTTATACGCGGTCATATACGGTAAATCTTCCTGAATCTTGACGATCGACTCAAGGAGACTGTGGATTAGTCCAACTTGATTGGTCCGAATAGTCATGGGCGTTTACGGCACAATTCCTTCATAGGATGGTTGTAGAGGCGGTATGGCGTGTCTGATTCCAGCGACAAACCAATTTATATATGCCACGATGTCCATGGAGTATCTGGCAACCAATGCTAAATCCTTGAAACATGATGCTGTCAACGTAACATAATTTGTAGAAATCTTCATCCAAGTGTTGCAACTCCGGAATTATAGCCTTGTGCATCTTGTATAACTTCCTTTCATAGGTGGAAGAGGTAGACAATCATCGTGCTTGAGTCTGTGGATGTTATCCGTCGATTGATCTACCTATGACCTTGCCCGCGTAGCTGGGCGAAGGTAAAATCTGATAAATATGCTGAGATGGAGCAGGCGCATGACATCCCCGTATTCTGGCATCTGGGATGGTGAATCCTCTGTCAAATGCGGCCGAAGTGAAGGCATAAGGTGGTAAAGCTCTTCATTCGGTTCTACAAAAGTCATATCGTTGGGGTGAGTTGTCTATCTCCTCCAAACACTGATTCTGGCTCTGAGTAGTCGTGGGTATCTCCTGCAGGGGGTGTATAATCATATCCCTCAGATTCTGCCCCGTAGGGCTCGTCATCCTCCGGTGACCATGACTCCGGCATAATAAGTCTCTGTGTGGCTTGTAGCCCTTGGGTAATGGTAGCCATGCCTTGGCTGTCCTCACAGCTGGCTGGTCAGTCGGCTGGCAGCTAGCTGGGTAACTCTGTGGAGTCCGTGAGGCTGGTTTGGGTCCCATTGGATTGTCAGCCATTGTCGGTAGGCTTGGTAGCCGTTGCTGGCTGGCCCATGGAGTCTGTGCGGCGGCCCTACGGTTTCTTCACAGATGTATGGCTGGACGGCTTAACCGTCGGGTGGAATGCCATGGGGCCATACGGCGTCTGGCTGGTATGGTTGGTTGCCGTGGACAGCATGTCCATGGATATCGTGCGGCTCAGCTTGTAGATCTTGTGTAGGCTGGCCCACGGCCGTGGACGAAGATCTCTTAGTCTTAGCCAGAGCTACCGTCGCGATCTTAGCGTCCATATCCTACAGCTTAGAATCAAGCATGTCTTTCATCATCTCCTGCTGTTCTCTCAGAAGTTGTTGGATAAGGCTCAGGGTAAGAGCAGGAGATGATGGGGTCGCCACCTCTCTCCTCTTGGCCTTCGTCGTGGCCTCTGACATTTTGGAGAATATTTCTTCGCATGTGTTGGTGCATTTCTCACATCTTTTCTCCAATGTGCAGGTCTTCCCTCTGCACTTCGAGCAGTTTACATGAGGATCTCCCATGATCATAAATCGATCACACTTCTTACACCCGGGGGTGATGGGAGACTGCATGGCGACCTCACAAACCCACCAGCTATACTCACGTGCATGTAGTCTCTTTCAGCAGCACTATTACTTCAAATATATATTTATTTATATATGTCTGTTAGATAGCAATCTTATTAGAATAATCTTAGGTTACTGTGATCTACTACCATGTTACCATGTTCTAGATTGTCATTACTACTATAGTAGGTGTTGACTCTAGCAGACACAGGAAAAAAGTGATATGGCCGCCAATGTGACGTCACGGCATGGGTAGTTACGAAACTACTTGGCGGCAACTAATTGCTTGTAATTTACAGTGAAGAGGACGTCTGTTGAAAATCTGAAAATTTAGTTAGTGTGATTGAAGCCAAAATACAGGATTTATGGGCAGATATGTAATAGAGGTAGAAGTTTCATAAGAATTATACAGGATTTATGGCAATGATGCGATGGGAGGTGAGATGGGAGGTACATGTAGTGTATCATAACTGGTTCTACTCATGGTTTGTGCTGCAAGCCATGCACTTTAGCAGACAACTGTAGAGAAAAGTCAAAAAAGATATTTGAACCTTCACCATTGAAGATTTCGATCTTAGCCAAGATCGCGGTCTTAAATCTAAGCTGTCTTTCAATTGTGCCCGAATCAGTGGAATAGTGAGTGAGTGAGGATGGTTTTACACCGCTTTTAGCAATATTCCAGCAATATCACGGCGGGTGACACCAGAAATGGGCTTCACACATTGTACCCATGTCGGGAATCGAACCCGGGTCTTCAGCGTGACGAGAGAACACTTTAACCACTAGGCTACCCCACCAACAGCTGATAGGGATAGGCAGGCTGACTGACTGCCATGGGTTGCGCCTTGTTATCATGGAAGGATTTGATAAGAATATTATTTGCCATGTCGCCATGCTGCAGGATCCGTATTCCATAATTAAGGAATGCACAGAAGCATTTTCTAGTTTTACAGATAGAACTCTGGCCTTAATGCTGACAGGATTTTCATGATCAGAGGTAAAATTCAACACACTGGAAGATGGATTTGTTGGGATGACATACACATGATTCCATAACTAACTTGTGGTTTAGAATTGTTCACAATGCTATTTAACAGTAGGGATGCAAAACAATGATTTTTCTCTTTTTGTCTGTTTTTCCATTACATACAAAATTACATACAACATGATTCCATTTCATTTTATTTCAAGGATCTTTGAATGAAACAGATAGGAAGACACGTTGAACATCAAGAGAGGTTAATTCCTATATCATGAAAAGTGTATGCCTTGAGTAGAATAATAGCATTTTGTAGGCATGTTTTGTGAAGGGATATGGATTACGTACCAAGTATTACCAGATTCTGTCCACAGTCAGGGATGATTGGTCCTCCTGAGTCTGGTGAGCCCCTGTAACACTTGTAATGACCTTCGTCTTCCCAAGTTACATCAGAGAGCACGAATCTGAACAGACCGGTTCCTGATGATGAAGCGTGTCCAATGAATCTCACTCTAGATGTGAACTTGTCACTGGCAGCTCTGACATAATTGTAGCCTGTGATGTGAAGAAGGCATGTCTTTGTCTCACTTTTACACACACTGAACTCCCTGGTCCCAGGATCCGGGAGAGTCCATGACAACGTTGCATAGCCGCCAAACCTGGCATACTCAGTTGAAGTAACTGCAAAACAGAAAATTCATGAAAGTTTGACAGAGAGTACACTTGCAAAACATGTATCACGTATGAAACACAAACAGTGAAATACTTAAGAAAATTTGTTTCCAACAACAGCAAAAACAAAACATCTAAAGAAGCGAGGTCAATGCTCTTGCAGTGTACCTCATGTATATGTAACCATATGATGACTGTATAACATCATATTAACTACAAAATGTCAGAGCTTACACAAAACACATTTTTCTCCATAGGTCTGATTAGAGCCATAAACGTGAAAAAAAGATAATAAATTTGGCAGTGTTGTAATTATGTGTACTCCCTGTATTCTGCATATTTGTATATATTGTACTGCAATAATGTACTGACATTTTACTGTATAGTGTTGCTCTGAATGTAATGAACCCATACAGCTGATCTACTCTACAGAGCTGCTTTCAGAGCGTGGACTTTTCTTTAATCAGTTCTATTTACAAGAATAAGCTGCAACTATTAACAGCTGTGGGATATGACAGGTAGCTTGGGTCATGATGATGATGATGATGATGATGTACAGATTAAAAAATAAAATGCTGCAAAGAGGGTTTAGGTGATCCTGGCACAGTCAGGCTGGTTAGACTCATCATCAGCTCAGGGCCCTTGCCCCCTCTACATGCAGCCCAGATAGTGAATGGGACTTCTCCCAGGAAGCGCTGCCTAGTCAAACCCACCCAAAACTTTTCGGAGAATGTGAAGACTCCCCAACACTGCAGCCTTCTGTGCATTACCCAGATTGTCAGAAGGGCTGTATTCCTGGTAGCAAACCTGGGTACTCTCTCAATGTCTGTCAACAGATTGGGAGGTACAAAACCTAAGGCACTGAGAACAAAGGGGAGTCGGACAACTTGGTACTTGGGATGGAAGCGTGACATTTCGAAAGCAAGGTCCGCATACTTGCCAATCTTGTCAATCACATTAGTGTCAAAAGGGACAGAAAATTCAATGATATAAATGATTTCATTGGATTTATGAAAAAGGACAAGATCAGGTTTGTTGGCCTGGATACATCTGAGGCTGTAAACGGGCCTATTCCAAAGAATTTTGTATTTATCCTTTCCATGATGCCCTCTACATATTCCGGGTCGTACCATGGATGGACCTCTGTGTCATAACCACAAGCATGGTGAAGACGGTAATCAAATGATCAAGACACTATCATGTCGCTTAAGATACTGTGTTTGTGCCAAAGCGGGGCATCCACTGACAATGTGTTGGACAGTCTCATTAAATTCATTGTATAATCTACATTTCATATTTCATTTTGATGCAAAATCACACATTGATGGATTCGAGTGGGAAGTGACTGGTCCCGAGCAGCAAACAGTAAGCCTACTGTTTCACTTTTCAGGCCAGCCGAAGCGAAGGACTCTGCAGGGTTGCTGATCTTCTCAACACACTGCACATAAACTCGATTCAGTAGTCCTTCAGATAGCCTCTCCTTGAAAAACTGAGTCTGGGCTGTTTTGATATGGCACTTTGGTTGGTTGACACTCATTTCTGTACCCTCCAGCAGTACAGAACCATCAACAAAAACAACACTGACATTGAGATTATGAGATTATGTCCCTTACCCTTGGCTCGTTTATGAAAACAGTGGAATGCCTTGTTGTCATCATGAGTCTTGTCATGCCTCACAAGATGATCGTCAGACAAATAAATGTGTGCAAAAATGCACAATTCAATTCTATCATGAAGAGCCTCCACATTAATCAAACCACGCCCTCCCATTATGATTGGTAAATATAAGCGATTGGGGGAAGAGCGAGGGTGGTGGGATCTATTGTCGGACATGATTCTTTGTGTGAGGGTGTCAATACCCTGAATTTCTTTTTTCGTCCAATCAACAACACCAAAAGAATAGGAAAGGACAGGTACAGCATAAGTATTTGTGGCTTTAACTTAATTGCGAGGGTTCAGCTCTGAACTCCAGATTTTCTTGAGTCTACATTTGTACCCTGCCCGAAGTTTGTCCTTGATATGTGCATTCTGGAGTTTGTCCCTAACCTGCATCCCTAAGTACATATAGGCCTATTATCAGCATCACAGAGCCAGAGGCCAGGAACATGGTAGAGGCAGTTATCACTAGCAAAGCAGAGGAACTGGCAGGGGTCAGCATCAAGGTAACCAAGGGCCAGCTTCATCTCAGTTGCCAGGAAACTGAAACCCTCTATTGCCATGAGTCGGGTTGTTGGTGGGGTGGAAACAAATTACCTGTGAGATACAGGGTCAATAATTACGAAATATTTCTTCAAACCAATCGGTATTAAGCTTCTCCAAAAACAGGGGTGGCTCATGCTTAAGACAGCCAATGGTTTGGAGAAACCAAACATTAGATATTTTGAACTGGACATTGACACATTGCGAAAAACAATTCCTAAAAGAGGAATCTTGACAACAGCTCTGATCTAGCAACCAGGCAGCAGAGGAAGCAGGTGCCACGTATACTTGGGATTACTGTTATTAGACTATGTAGAGACATGCTACTTCAAGAGCATGGACAGAACTTAAATGTGGTCTCTGAGATGTCTGTCCATGAGTCATGGATCAAGAGTTTCAGGAAAATATCTGAAACAAGATCCATCTTGGGTACTGTAAAAGTAGTAGGAAGAGAGCCAGTCTGCGTACCAGGAAAGTATGATGTGGTTGTTGATGCAATCTCTCATAAACACAAAAGTTTCTGTTCAATATGCAATGGTACAACAGATTCCGGTTTCACCTGGGCATTAATCTGCAAACTTCCAAAGTTGTGAACCCCTTGTTCAAGTTCAGAAAAAAGCCTTCCAAATCAGCATAGCAAAGAATCGGAGGGTCTGATATTTGGTGGGTATACTGTTTAGCATATTGGAAATATATTCAGGAACTTCCACAAGAAAAAGAAATCAAATTCAGAAAATTCAAGATGGAGCAGAAGGATACCTGGAAGTTTTTTGCTTTTGTGTTATACATTGCTTGGTTCAAAACAAATTACATGAGAAATTTGATTTCTATAATAATTTCAGGCCCAATATATATCTGGAGAAATCAGAAATAGTTTCATTTGATTTCTGGGTTAATCCAAAGACGTATTATAAGTCTTTGGTTAACCAACCTTACTTTCAATTTGGGAATCAGCTCGAAAAAGAAATTTTGGGCTTGTCCGTGACCTGAATTAAATTTGCAGGGGATTTTAAAATTTAAACAAAATGATTTCAGTAGTTGCCCTGTACCTTGTTGCTTTGCACAGGGTTATTGTAAAGTTTGTAACTATAGCATGAAGTTTAAGGGTGAGACATTCGTTGTGTCTCGATGTAAGGGGCAAATCAGGGTGTTGAATAAATCGGAATTGTAAAGTGTCATAGAAATGAAAAAAAGTGAAATTAAGAAACATGTAGAATATTTGGTTGAGATGGAAATATGAGGGAATTCAGCTTTTGCAAAAGAGACTGCAAAATGGAAATAATTCCTCTCAAAATTACATTGATGTGAGACAAGAAATGTTAGATTAGTCCCTCTAGATTTCCACTCACTTTGAGAAGGTTGCAACATACTTTATATGACCACAAGAGCATTGGGTAATGTTATTGCTAAGTGTTTCGAAGGGCACAGCTGAAGTTTATTCAGCACTCCCCATTGATGTTAGTTTGAACAATAATGAAGTGAAAAAAGCTATTTTGAAGGCTTAGAAGTTGTATGCAAGGCATATAGACAAAAGTTTAGGTATTGAAGGACAAGGGGTGATTATACGTATGTGGAGTTCACTAGGTAAAAGGAGACTTTGTTTGATAGGTGGTGTTTATGGATGTTGGCCAGGAATTTATACTTCTTAATCAAATCAAACTAAGAATTTGTACAGTGCATTTTAAAATTAACAACTTCTGAAATGTGTTGAGACCATGACTGATCTAGTCAAAGGCTCCCTTGAAGAGACATGTCTTGAGCGTCTTTCTAAAGATTGTGAGATTTTCTGTTTCTCAGGTTTCTTGTGGCAGATTGTTCATAGCAATGGGTCACCATGTTGAAATGACCTATCACCATATGTGTTGGTGTGTGACTTTCGTACCACTAGCCGATGATGATCTTTTAATCGGGGAGACATGCTGGCTTGTATGGTACAAGCAATTCCTGTAAGTATGGATTGGCAGCCATTTTGGATTGGCAGCTATTGCAGTCATGTGTTCTCGCTAAGGTGTTCTAGTCAGAATTCTTGCACCTGCATTCTGAACATGCAGTAGTTTTACTACATCACTCTTTGGTAGAACATAGAGGAGGGAATTACAATAAACCAACCTGGGGATGACAAAAGCTTGGATCAACAATGAAATTTCCTTTGTCCGATGTTGATATGAGTTTGTCCTTTGGTAATATGCACATTTGCATATGGCTGTGATATGCTTATCCAAGCTGTAGAGCGGATCCATGATGACAACCAGGTTTCTCGCACAATGATACACTGTTGCCGTTAGCTGCAATTGGGAGCACATGTGGTAGGAGAATTTCGTTGATGTATCATTGAGCCGTAAGATTGCCCTGGATATGGACCAAACCTGCCCTGCCATGATGAGAGATAGCCTCCCACATCATAATGCTACCCCCACCAAACCTGTCCACTTCCTGAATGCAGTTTCCTGCATAATGTTCTCCCCGACGTCTGTAGACCTATGCTCTTCCATCCTCTCGACGGAGGAGAAATCTTGATTCGTTGTTGAACCAAACATCTCTCCATCGCAGTTGAGGCCATACCCTGTTGACAACACCAATGCAGTCAATATGACACGTCTAACAAGACATCTTGCTTGTAAACCTGCTGCTCTTAAACGGTTTTGTATGGTCTGGTCGGAGATTCTGCGCAGTCTGGGTATTTGGGATGCCGCTGAGGTGGCTTAGGTCATCCTTTCACGTAGGTGGCGTAGTCGGATGTAGCGATCTTGGGGTGGTTCCTCTTGGTTGTCCCAACCTTGGCCAATCATGTGTTGACCCATGCTGTTGAA